TATGGCGACGCTGGTTTAAGCTGTATGAAACATATAGCGACTACAGTACATTACTGCTAGCCTGGGCTTTTTCACGTGCCACACGCAGTAGTGATACACGACCGCACGCCTGTACGATGTTCTTCCAGATCGAAACGAGCACGATTGGGGATAGAATCCATGATCCCTGCAAGTTCTGCAGAACAAACTTTCGCTCCACGTTCTCCGAGCTGCATTGCGCCACCTCGTACACTCGGCAACCGATCCTCCTACCTGATTGGGTTCCTGTATCACAGTTCACAATATAAAACCCCAGGCTAGCAGCGCTGCACTGGCTAAATTTAACATCTACCTTGCGAATAAGTTTCGCTAAACTCTGGCAGACCAATCTCATACTGTCTAAGCACTATTCGCGTTTAGAATGACTGAGTAAAACATCGTTTCGCGCGTATAAGTAATTATCTACTTTTTTCATAAGAGGGTTTTAGTATTGCGTATAGGATCAAACACAAGCGCTGCGGCGTTTGCGTTATCGTTGCGTGCTCCACGGTGCGCATGCGTGTCGTCGTCATGCACCAATCCGAGACCGCAGTTTGGGCTCCGCGCACGCGCACTGTGGAACACGCAACGATAACGCAAACGCACAGTGCTTGCATTTGGCAATACTAAAACTCATCATTTGTGCAAGTTTTAGAAGCTAGGTTTGCGTGCACGTCGCACGCGTTTGCACAGATGAGGCAAGTCATAAGGCGCCATGATAGCAATGACGTGTATTTCAAGCGGCAGACAGTTCAAATTGCGCAGGAGACAGCAACGAAAAAAAGTGCCGAAGTATCGGTAAGTCATATCACTGAGGAAAGTACAGCGCCGATCGCGTGCGGTTTTGCTATCTTTTCTTCTTCTTTTCTTGTCGTTGTAAGCTTCGCGTCTCAAAGTGCGAAATTCCCTTTGCAGATATCAGAGCGCGAGCGATAAATGCCGGTCCAAAGAAGGTATTTGGAGGAGTACCGAACGGCGGCAGCGTAGGCCTGCTGATTACGCAGACACTCTACTTGCGAATTCCTGGAATTCTCGCAGTGACGTAGGCGGATGCAGATGAAATGGGAAATCGACGGAATGCGAGTCCACTAAACCAAAGTTCTGAAACCTATCGACTGAAGAGCTCCACAAAAAAACGTCTTCGCAAAAAAAAAAAAAAAGAAATGTGGAAAAGCAATAAGCGTTTTTCCTACATCCTAGCCAGAACAAGCTGTCACGCCCCCGCCCGTTTCAATGAGCACCGCACTCGCGTGCATTCGTGCAGTCAGCACTGCGTGGTGCACGTTAAAGACCCCGGGCTAGTAGCCGTAGTGCACTGGTTACGCTTCTAATTTACCCCGTGCCACCGTGTTGCCCAACCCTGGCAGGCCAACGTCACGCTGTTCATACATTAAATTAATAATTTGCTCGTTTCTCTCTTTTTTTGTTTTTTGCGAAACGTAATAAACACAATTTCTCATTCAGACAAGATTTTCAACCCCCTTCCTCATTATAAGAGACAAGGGTAAGTGTTGCTGCCAGTCTTAGCAGGTCTTTATAATACCGCGTCCTGTCAACAGCGAAAGTACTGTGTTTTCTGCTGTATGAGGGGCATTTTTTATAATATCCGTTGGCGCGTTTTAGGCGACCTATATATGTATGCTTATTTTATAGTTACGGACCTTAAGGGAGGACAGTACCCAAGCGGGTCAACTTTTTGAACCTTTGGCTTAATATGAACAAAATTTAAAGTATATACTGGCAGTTTCGAGACAGAATGCAGTGCAAAGTTTCATCTGTGTACATATATTGTAAAAAAAAAAAAAAAAAAAAAAAACTAAAGTTGTTTTTACCAGGAACACACTGACATTCTTTAGAAAAAAATATTGCTAAAAATCTAATGCAATACCTCACATTTTTATTCGCTAGATATGCAGCAGAACGTCTGGGGAGTGTAACTGTGAAAACAAAATTTCCAAAAAGTAATTTATTTTATGCTAACATCGCGCTGAAATATCAAATATATTTTTTACATTTTTGCCGTCCACAAAATCTGAAGAACTTTCATAAAAGGCATCCACAAAGTAAGAAAACAATGCCATAGTTGCATTGCCCATTAAATTTCATTCAGAAAATACAATGAGTGAACTCTTGCTTTTGTCCCGTTACTTAACGATAGTTTTCCTAAATTGAAATGTATGTTAAAAAGTGGAACGGAGAAAAAACGTGTTTCAAATATTTGAACCTCTATCTTTTCTTTAGCATCAGTGAACCGAAAACACTTAAAAAAAAAAATCTAACTATATAGTGTAAACAAATGAAACTTTCTAGAAATGCTCTCTAGGTGTTAGTGGATGTAAATATAGCACTTTTTAAAATAATGTTTTTTGCAGAATATTTTTTTCTGGGTAGTGTCGTTCCTTAAGGGGATACTTCAACGAAAATTTAAATTTACCCATGGTGTTCAGAAATAGGCCGAATATGATCCACAATATCCGTAAATTACAATCGCACGTTTGTATTTTGAGCCTTGTGGCTGTATTTGTAGTTATAAGCGGCCCACTCTGGCAAGCGATTGTAGAGCAACCAGTGGGGAGCACGTGACACGGCGCAATCGTGACGGATCCTGTCTCGGGACGAGCAAAGCTGTGGCGCGGCTGACATCGACAAGACGATTGCAAGCAGGGCATCTGGCCTCCGCCATTTCATTTATTCAATCTATTTTCATTTATTGACCTCAAATCGCCCGCAGGCGTTACATAAGGGGGAGGGTAAAAAAGTGACTACATTCAATAGGAGGTATTCACTGGACGCCATATTTGAGGGCGATGTTTAGAGCGCATGCTCAAAACGAGCTCACATTAATAGCCTGTTAAGACCGGCAACCTTGATGGTGCTAAATGCACGCTTCAAAAGGACTGCGGAAGCTCGCCGTCAGCACGCGCTCAGCACCAGCGCACACGGATATGGCCGCCAGTGAATACACCCTATACAGAATACACGCGAACATGAGATAAAAAAAAGAAAGACAAAATGCAACTACAACAAAAAAATAAGTACGCGCTTCAAACAGAAGAAAACAGACAATACGCACCGACAAACCAAGCAAACCATGTCTCTGCCGCGCTACCATAGACGTGTCTCTGCTCGTGCGGGCAAGTGCGTACAGTTACAAACTCGCCAAAGCTATGTTCACGCGCACGCTGCACATGCTTGCACCTGAAGGCATAGGTCACCGGTGAGGCTATGGTTCTAGGAGAGACTAAAGTCACTGGATCCTGGGAAAGTAGCGCCATTGCCTTCCCTACCTGCTAGCCGCACACAAACGGATACTAACATACAGACGACCCAAACCGCGCAAGGCGATTGGCTAATCGGCCTACGTTCCCATGGAAATCGCCATCTTGGTCCATTTAAATCTTCGAAGCTTCCAGGGGGTCGTTCTAAACAAGTCGCGCCAAGATCACCATGGAGCATCAACGTACTGGAAGCGTTCCTCGCCAATATAAGAGTCTTTGGCACTTCGCATGCAATCAAGTTATTAATCATGCCCATCTCTATGGATCTCTTACAATTATATTGTTCTTCCTGCGCATTTCAAGACAATAAACTTATTTTTCAGTGCCTCCAAGCACCGACACAGCATCTGGTGGTGGTACGAACGTGTACGCTTGTTTCGCCGTTGTGTGGCTAGCAAAATCTCGGTATACAAAAAAAAACGACTGAATAAAGCTACCCGTCACCAGCGAATCTAGATCGGCTCACCAAGAACGGAGGGGTCAAGGAAGAATTGCTCATTCCACGGACCAAGATGGCGACCACGCGGGGAGCTTGGCGTTACTTTCCCTGGATCCAGTGACTTTAGGAGAGACAGGCCTCGATACTACCTGTCACTATTCCTAGACGGACATCACAAACGAGGCTTTAGCGACATCCACCAGGTGCCATTTGCTAATCGTTTAATTCCTTTTAAAATTCCTGTAGTGTCTCTTTCAACAAGAGATTGGGGTGTTCGTTGTGATACTGCTCCCTTAAACACGTAGAGACCAAGAAATAAGCGCCGAAATTTTGTTATAGTATCCCTTTAACTGTAAAAGGTATAAAAGCCGAACACCATGGAGCGAATTAAAACACTGACGAACGTCGCTCGACGGCACGCTCGTTTAGCGCACGACGTAGCAGTCACTATGCTGATTCCACGCGCAGAGCAAACGCCGACGTGTAAAATTCGTCGATTTTTCGCAGCATATTGGTGCCATATGGTTCAGCCTTAAGCCTGTACCGACATTTACGACCACGGAGACACGGCAGAGTTTTTACCGATAGTCTACTCTATCGACGGTCCGAAGCGTAGCGGCCCACGGAGATGTCTCGGTCTAGCTCTCTCACGCTTCACACCGTGACGACACTGTGAGGTCATTCGGTAGTGTCTTATACCCTGAAGATTTATTATCACTCGAGAAAATAAACCTCGATTGCTCAAGTAAAGCACAGATGCTCCATAATCCCAGCACACACCGCCGAAAACAGACTTCTCACAAGATACATCAGCTCCTGATAAATCATAAAACGACGACCGCGGCGAAGGTGCAGTGCTCGCATGTATGTTCGCTGGTGTTATATTCTAAACTAGTTCAGGCATCCCCGTCGGTGGCGCCATTACTGCAGCGACTCTGCGTGCCATATCGTTCGCATCAGTACTCTGCAACTATGTGCGACTTATTCATAGATGCGATTTATGTACCAGCTCTTTCGTGAAAAGATCCGTTTATGGAAGGGTGAGACCTATACAACGCTGCAGCTTAAAGACCGCATAACACTGTAGGCGCCAACAACAACCTTAACGGCGTCACTTGTAAGCGCGCAGTGGTGTCATTGAGTCTTACCCGCGCTTTCAAAGTTACCGTCCAAGAATAAATTATTATGATCGTATGGCATAGGACGTCCCCTCTAACAAAAAAGCATGAGACCCTGAACAGTTACAGGATGTGTGCCCCTTACAGGCACAACAATCTCCGGTACCTGCCAGAGGACATGTTCAGCGAGATGCCGGCACTCACGCTGCTCGACCTGAGCGCCAACTTGCTCAAGACCCTCTCGGAACGCTCCCTCTCGCCTGTCATCCGCAACCTGCGACTACTGGACATGAGCAGTGAGTGTCACTCGTCACTACAAATCATCCCACGTCATCCATGGGTCTGCATTTTTGTTGAACTCCCTCACTCACGACCAGTTTAAAATAAAACAAATAGTACGCGTGGAGTGAAAGCTCGCGCTGCAGAACCCAGGGATCCTGGGTTCGAGCCCCACCCCTGCCCGTTTCGATCTGGATGAGCATCGTACCGGCGTGCGGTCGTGTATCACTACTGCGTGGTGCACGTTAAAGATCCCAGGCTAGCGGTTGTACCCCACTGGCTAAATTGCTCATCTACAGCGTGTGACTCGTCGCAACTTTAATGGCTGACCAACTACACGCTGTATAAATATCCCCATAACCCAATTATTATATAAAACAAATAGTAATTCTTTCGTCCTCAAACTCACGACTAGAAAAAAAGTAAAAAAAAACAAACTCAGTTACCCTCACCCTCACTGCCACACTCACCTTCAGATCCTCACTCACAAACTCATGAACTCCCCGAATTCAAGAACTCACCAAAATCATGAATTCACTAAACTCGTGAACTCACTAAACTCTTGAACTCGCCGCGAACTCTCGCCCATCACTGAACTGATCACGCCCATCACCGACCTCACGCCCCTCAAACTCATAGTTTTCGAGGCTAAAGAACTCATTCGTTTTCACCTCACGCCTAAATGGTGAGGGTAAGTGAGGTGAGTGAGTGCGCTCATTAGCAAGTTTTGCCAAGGTAGTTGCTGGAAGAGAAACCAGAAAAAAAAAAATCACACTAACTTGATCATGCTGACAAGAACCGAGGGGCACAGGGCATGCTATAAATGACATGGGCACTTGCTCTCTGCGCGTGCGTGTGTGCTGTCACGTGACGTTATGAGCTCAAATGACTGACATCCCACGACGTCATATTGTCACGTTACGTCACGGTGACAAATATTGTGACGTCACGCGACGTCCAGGGTCACGTCACATCATGGAGTCGCGTAACGTCATGATGTCTCAGTCCTTCGCGGCGATGCTTTATGACCGACCTTCATGACGATTTTCACGCTAAATTCAGCGGATAAAACACACGTTGTGTTAAAACAGCGATATTTACCTTACGCACTTGTCCCCGTCAACTTCAAGTTTTTTATTTATTTTTTTTTCATTTTTTGTGCAAAAGTCTAAAGTCAGAAGGCAAACTGAAGGACGTTCTGTCTTTACAGGGACATGAAAAAAAAAAAAAAAAGGAAACGTGTGTGTGTACGTTGTCCACTTTTTTTTCTGCTAAGTTTCGCGTTTTCAAGACGTTACAAATTCGCCAGCTCACCTGCATGTCCTCCGTCAGTCCTATCTTAAATATTGTAGTAGTAAAACAACTAAGACTATAAGCGACACTCAAGCGACTCCTTATGGAAGAGGCGATCCATTGCTCCAAACCCTCCCTTTGCGCTCCAAAACATTGACCGACACTGAATCGTTCTACGAGCTTCCTCGCTGGAACTTACCCTCAATTTCACTCCAAATTCATTCGACCGCAGCCGACACACCGACCTGACGGAGTCAATCGGGAAGCATTAAAATTGCATCACCCCGGCACTCGTCATTTTTTGCGTTCGCTTTCACCAAATGAATCAATCACGCACACTGACTGCGTCGCGATTCTGCGTTCTTTTTTTTTTTCTGCGCGCGATCGGTCTACAGCCGGCGATAGAAAACGCACAAAAACGACGATCACAGCGCCATGACGACGCACTTCTCTTTTTCATCAGCGTCTTCGCTCTCTCTCTCTCTCTCTCTGCGAAGCTCTTCCGTCACACGCTCAGCCGTTCGCGAAGAACAGGTGCGCCCGTTCCTAAAACTTAACTGCCCTGGCAGCAAAGGACCCTGATGGGACCACGAACGTAGCTTAATCCCAAGGACTTCCCGATAAGAGCGCTACTCCACGAGAGGCTAGAGCTCTGCAGCGCAACAAATGCCGTAATATCTTTGTAATCGGAGACATTGAAGGCGTCATTCAATTCGGAGCGCATGATCTCGTCAGCTGATTAGCGATATCAGCTACAGCCGTTGCTTAGTGGATGCAATCGCTCCCACCTGGACCGTCATTGCCGGGTTCATGGGAGTGCCCCATTGCGTGTCAACAAAGGATGCGAGGCAAAGTGCTTTTGCGCCGAACCGTCCGGCAAATCGCCGTGCGCAATGTTTACGCTACGATTCGAGACAAGCGTTTGTGAGCAAGCCGCAGAGGCAACCGCGAACTAAATGAATCGATCGCTGGTACTCAGCACGACGCCGTTGGCGCGAACAAGCGCCTGGCGATTTCTTTTTTTAAAGCACGAAATGGCTTTTTAATGCTAACCGCGATTCCAAAATTTTGTCCGTCCGTCCATCCGTCCGTGCATTTTCCGCTAAATTTAGCTGGGACAGTGGCTTCACGCTGACTTCACGCGGCCAGTACACCTTGGGGAAATTGACGGCACGTGATCTATACGTTAACTAAGTTTCCCCGCTAAATTTAGCGGGAAAATTCACGTCTTTTTGCAAAACATAAATTAAGATTCCCCGCTAAATTTAGCGAGAAATTGACATCACGTTACCTGTATACCGATTCACTTACCCGCTAAATTGAGCGGGAAACTTCGCGTCTCTTGAACTAGACACCAGTCCAGTTTGCCTGCTAGATTTAGTGGGGGAAAACGACATCACGCGTACTGACGTCAAGTGGCCTACACAACCATTCAGGTTCCCCGCTAAATTTAGTGCAAAATGATACGTCACATGACATACCAAGTCCCTCACCAATTCGTTATAATGCATTTTATGCATCATAACTTCATAAGACATTGAAGGTAAAGGTCGCTGTTTTTGTAATAGGTTAATGGCTTCTATTAAGAACTACTATACTCCGTTTTACATTAAATCCGACCACAGCCAACGCGGTGATCCGACGGAGCAAATCAAGCAGCGGCAGAAGAGCATCGTCCCGGCGCTAGTCATCTTTGTGCGTTTGATACATCACCTGCTAAACCAATAACGCGCAGAAAATGGTGCCGGATCACGGTGATTTCTCTGTGCGTGATTTAGTCGCTGATAGCCAACCTTACTAACACTCAGTTGGGAAACTCACCCTTGAAACCCGGACCGCTCGCGTCCACCGAGACCAAACTAAATACTATAACAGCGCCACACAACTTTTCTTGGCAATGCAGTGGAGGATACAGGCACGCGTCCCCTCGCCCATTTTCAGCGCTGGATAAAGCTGTGCGCGGGCTCTCCTCCTCTTCATTGCATTGCATAGGGACGTTGTCGCCGGGTGTAGTCAAAACATAAAAGTTCATTTATACTCTTACTGCGAAATGGCACTGCGAGATGGCGCCACCGGCCTTTGCGCGACTTGACCTAAACCAGGGGGGTAAAGGTGGGTGAGGAGGAGTGGCAAATCCCGCGCGCCGACATCCTGGGTCCCGAGTGAAAGATCGCGAAAGAGAAAGAAAGCAACGTTGCCAGCTGAAGGACGACAGTCGCAATGGTAATCGCGAAGACTGAAAACTCTCAGCAATATAAACAGTGATAATTTAACGTTGCAAACTAAATTCTGAGCTATTCTGAGGTTTATAAAAAGCAGCATACTCATTACGTTGCATTAACTTCCCTTCTGTCGAAATCTCGAAAATCTGGTAGTTGCGCGGTTTCGTATTTCCGGGCGCGGCTGCCCGCGCCCGGAAATACGAAATTAAACTAGATAACCGAAGCCGGTTATCTGGTTTAGTTTAGTGTTGACGGGAAGCCGTACATCTGCGTGCTATGCAAAAACAAAGCTTCGAAAGGAACGCGAATATCTTTCCACCGGTAAGTTTGTGGATTGTTGAAGTTCATGAAACTGCTCTGATGATATATTTGTGAAATAGAAGGCAGTTGGTAACCATGTGTGGGACCCCGAGGGTCTGCCTGCATACTCCGCCGCTTGCTGAAGCCAGAATGCATGGGAAAATGGCGGACCTTTTCCTCTAGAGTTAGTATGTATGATCTCTATGACCTGAACCGATACGCGAAGACGTGCAGTTCCCGGAGTGGACGCTGCGGAAGAAACGGCGTTGTGATCGCCATTAGTTCTGTTCTCGAGTACGAATCGAAGCCATTTTTTCGAAGCAGGCAGTGTGGCAGTTTCCGAACTGAGTTGTTCCAGTAACGTTGGTAATAGCGAATGCAGAAAGACGACGAGCGCCTTGACGATGTTCTTTTGGAACTGCTTGAATGGCTCCGTATGGCCTCTTTGGGTGCACGGAGAGGAGTTGCACGGTTTCGGTTTCGATTGTCCCATTGACGAAGTAGCGCGTCCCAGCACTGCATGAAAATAAAGTCAGCGCTCGCATGCATTGCACCCATTCATCTTCGTGAGAGCCCCCGTTGAAACACGGACCCCCAGCAACCGTAAAGACCTGCCAAGGCTTAGCGAGGAGTAGGAGGACTGACGGCCGCATCTGGGTACCTTTTCGTAGGCCCGACTGCCACTCCAGAACACAGCACGACTTTCCCTGCTCACGGGTCATTCCGACATTACAAAGACGATGGAACAAGATGACCGGACCGGTATACTTGTTCCACATGCTATCCTAGTCCTGTGTTAACCTACGCACAAACTATGACAGGTCGGGAGCACCAGAAAACGTGCTCAAGCATTATTTTTGTATTGATAGGCAGCACACACAACTAGTATTATAAATTTAAGAAAGGTCATACATTCGAAAATGCAAGTACTGTATTTGGTCGCGAGAATGTCGTTAAGTGAGATTGGCAAATAGAAATCGAAACTTATTGGCCAATGGATTCCCACAATGCGTTGCGTGGTTCTACGCAGCTAAATAATAATGTTGTATAAATATTTGCACAGTCGAGAGTTAGTCAGCCTCAATAGGCGTTTGGTGTCTCAGCTGTAGGTAAGAAATTTAGCCAGTGCAGTACAACCACTAGCCTGGGGTCTTTAACGTGCATCACGCAGTATAGTGAGACACGGCCGCACGCCGGTACGGTGCTCATCCAGATCGAAACGGGCAAGGGTGGAGATTGAACCGAGGATCCCTGGGCTATTGTGAACTGGAAGGGGAGGTGTGCTCATTGCCTGGTTTGGCATGGTCGTTTGGAAGTGATGGTGTAGGTGTTCTGTGCTAATTTGCATTGTGGCATCCGCACGGCGGCGCTGTTGCTGTCTATCAAGTCACACGGGATGTACGGCACCTTGTTCTAGCCAATTAGGGAACTTGTTGTCTAGGATCAGAAAAAAAAAAAAGACGAGGTTGAAGATGTTTATATATCAGCCTTTACTAGGTGAGCTCCAGATCTGTTCAGTTTTCAGCACCCGTATGTACTGTCAGAGCATTTAAAGACTTGTGGTCTTTGTCACAGGAGCATAAGAAGCATATGAATCCTGTTGCATTATGCTAGGCGCAACGGGGCAGGCTTCGGCATATCATGAATAGACTGTTGAACCTCCGCCCAGCTATGACCGCACACTTTCGCATAGCCCACTTTAACTTCGGCTTATTGAAACAAATAATCCACGGCTTCAAGACACATCTGGGGGCGCTGGGACTGAATATGACGCAAGCGTCAGAGATCTGCTCAGCCAATCATCTACCTGAGCCACACCCCTGCTTGTTTTGACATGGACAGGCATCGCACAGGTGTGCGGTTGCATAATCACAGAAACGTGGAGCAGGTTACAGACCGTGGGCCGAATCTCGGACAGCACTAGATAAGCTACCCCTCCACGACGTCACACCATGCCGCTGAATCTCAGAGGAACAGAGCACTCTCGCTATTAAAACGTTCACAAAACCCAATTTGTTTTTCCTCATTTTATACCAAGGCGAAAGAGAATAAACATTACAAAAGGCTCTCTACGAGCACATGTGTTTATAAGGGTTAAACGTACTTCTGATGATCGGACGTCTGTAAAAGGGAGATACATTTCAACGCCACCGTACTGCGCCAGAGTGAGAGTCCGGCCACCTAACCTCACAGGAAGATTTTGCTCTACTCTACACCAAAAAACGAAGTCGATCTTCAAACGTCGAAAGCAAATATCCTCGTATAACGATTTGTACACCAGGTCAGTACTATGTGAGCTTCATCTTGAAAGTCGTTTCAGTAAGGGGGCGCCAGCACATTCATGTTATTAGCCGAGAAACTGAAATATTCTATGAAGGCATCATACTTTCTCGAGGACACCACCACGTAACAGATCGCCCCGCAGTCGAGCTTCTGAACAGTCGTTCTTATTCTCCGCGATTATGACTCTTATGAAGGCCTGAATTTACTCTCGTAGCGGAAAGCCATTACGGGAATTTATATCAAATGCAATTGGTGGAAAAGCGGTCATTAGCAGCACGCAACTGAGTACTGAGTACGCCACAGTACCAGATGATCCCAGCAAAAGCGGCGACGCGGCAGACGCGCGGTTTTTGGCAGATATTTGTATTAGGCTCGATGACTGCGCCATTTGCTTCCGCCTTGGATCTCGAAAGCGGCGACCTTTTTATGCTTTGCTATAGGGAGTATTCACTGGCGGCCACATCTGTGTGCGCGGCTGCTGAGCGCGTGCTGACGGCGAGCTTCCGCAGTCCTTTTGGAGCGTGCATTTAGCACCATCAAGGTTGCCGGTCTTAGCAGGCTATTAATGTGAGCTCGTTCTGAGCATGCGCTCTAAACATCGCCCTCAAATATGGCGTCCAGTCATTACCTCCTATTGTCACTGACAGGATGAAAACGAAAGGGCGTCTATGCCTGGTTTCCAGCACGCGCTTGTTGCCTTTCATCGTGCTTTGACCTCGCGTTTACGCTCGAAGCTCACCAGAAGCGTTTTCGAAGGAGGAAGCTCGCGCAGGAAGCGGAACAACTGAAATACCTTCCTGCTGTTCTTGTCTTGTTTGTGACTATATCAAGCCTCGAAATCCTGACGTCCTAACCGATTTAAAAGTGACAATGGTGATTGTGTGCCTGAGGAACATTGATATATGGTATAAGCAACATTGCTATGATCGCGCGCTCAACCTAGCAGCATCAAAATTTACTTTCGAAGCTTAACATGGGTTTACGCTTAAAAAAGTAGACAAAACCTTACTAAAACAATCATGCTCGGGTCCGATAGTGTCGGTTACAGGAAGTTAGTTAGCACAAGTGGACGAGCGATGTCTCCGATATAGATGAGAAATTTAGCCAGTGAAATACCACCGCCAGCCTCAGATCTTTAACGTGCATCACGCACCGTGGTCGTTAGCTTGCATCACACGACCGCACTCTATCCAGATCAAAACAGGCAGGGGTAGGTGTTGGACCTAGGATCCCTGGGTTCTGCAGCGGGAGCTTTCGCTTAACGTGCTCCGAGCTATGATGCGCTCACACATTCGGCCTCCAATCTTTTTGGTTTATTATTATTACATAGTAAAGGCATTCCAGCACAAACAACTTTGTTACATGAATATTTCATTGTCATTCTACTTACAACTTCTCAATATTTAGTACAATGAATAATTCCAAAGACACGTTTTACTCGCTTTGGGCATCTAGAACATGTGGCCAGTTCGAATAGTTCACGTCGTCTAATCTCTTATTTTTGGAGAAGAGCTTTAGTACACTTGTTCACGCAGGTTCTGGTTGAAACTGAGTGTATAGGGAGTTCGAATTTGTTCAAAAGATCGAAGAAAAATTGTACCTCACTCCTTTGGAATTTGGCTCAGCGTGTCTCACGGCCATACGGAATTGCCAAATGCTAAATAAACAATCCCATCAACATTATCATGTAACAGGAAATTCCACCTTTGCATCTAAGTCAAAAAACCTGATTGTAAAGCAGGATATGTTAATCTCGTTCTGAATCGTTTGTTAGATAACGTCCCAGAAAAACGAAGCGTCACAACAAAAGCATAACGACGTTATCTATACTAGTCTCTGGCTGCTCGTAGGGAAGGCAGTTCTCCGTCCATATTACAAAAATACTTTTTTTTTTATTTTGCCACACTTTTACAAGTAATGTTGAACTGCGCATTTTTAGAAAAAGCTCCTCGCTCCAGTGGACACTCGCCTTTTCCCCCTCACAAGAGTGAGTCACTCTCTGCACTCCTTTCTTTCAGATAACCAGTACTACTGCGACTGCAACCTGACGTGGGTGTCGCGGGCTTTCAAGATCAACGATGACCGCTTCTGGCAGCGAAACGAGATCACCTGCCAGTGGCCCCACCAGCTCTACGGCACCGATGTGCTCACGCTCACCGACGATGCCCTGGACTGTCCAGGCACGCGCGTCTCTACCCCGCATCAGTTGAAGATCGACCACGGACAAAGCTAGGAGCGCCTCGCGTTTTTCTGCCACGTGTTCGCCACCTCGTGGGTTTCGAGCGAACCAGCATGAAGGGCTCGTGGCGCCCATTTCAACGCGATGGAAGTGTGGTCTGTTCTCCTCTACCGGACCAACGTGGCGACTCCAAGGCAGAAGAGACGGGTCATAAAGAATATTGAATGTGTGGATGTTCCAAGGGGGCCAACGCCGGTCAACGCAGCAAGCTTGTAGTCTACGTATTTTACTAAAGACAAAATATAAACGTTGAAGGGCGCGAGGAAGGGCGCCTTAAATTAGTAAATGTGTGAGAGACGTGGTGTTTTTGCGCGAAACAGTCTGTGGCTACCGGAAAGACACCCGTCCGGCTTACAGACAGTGGTTTTCTTTTGTTATCATTCAAGGATTTTATAACCAGTTTTGGAAATTCTAGGATTACAATAACATCACGGATTGTCCAACAAACCGACAACACTGTTCTAGTAAAGCTAGATGTCTCGGATCGACCTACTTATTTTTTTCATTTTAAAGATTGCAAGGCAAAACAACTGTCTTTTTTTTTTTTTTTTTTTTTTTTAGCGCACATAATAAGAGCATGAAAGTGCGGATACAGCCCATAGCTTTTTTTCGCATGTTCCCATTTTCGATTATTCGAGCTGGGTAAAACATGCCCACTTCCACTTTCACACATACACACACACACACACAAATAAAAAAAGAACGTTGGTCCGGCAAATATCTTTCACTTGCTTGAGTCCCGTGGCTTTGTCTCCAGTCAGAATTAATGTAAAATTTAAAATATAGGAACACCGAAAGAAGAACACAGGTGGGACGAGGAACGTCGTACATTTTCCTTCAAGTAGCAACAGTCATCGTAAGAGGACACCATCGGGTTCGGCAGAGAGCTCATAGGATCATTTACCACGAACAAAGCGGACGACAATGTTTCTGCTCCGTCACTCGTTTTAACTCGAGATGTGATGGCGTTCTACTCTCCGAAATTCACATAGCCGCTTGGTCATAATTGAGAAAAGTATGTATGTATATAATAAGGGAGTTTTTGCGGTCCCAGTCATCCTTTCCTTTAATCTTCTAATCTTATAAGTTTTCAGAATATCCTCTATTTTCTTTTTTTGACCCCTTTCCATGTATCTTTCGTTTTTGACTGTGGGGTGTGATTGTGGAAAAGAGCGTTGCGATTTATTGTACTGTTGCTACTTGAAAAAAAGTTCACCTCGCCCCAGCCGTGTCTCATTTTTTCGGTGTTCCTAAAGTCAACATTGTCCCAAATAGAAGCGAGCATCTGAGCCAGCTTGAACTGCTTGCCTCGAGAAAACTTTTCAACTTGAGCCTTCAGCATCCGCTTATTTAAGTGCAGTCATCTACGTGTATGTCATGCCATTCGACATCTCAACTACACAACATCAACCTGTTCATCGGGTGTTTCAAGCGACATTGCTGACGTGCCGCGACAAACACCTTTTTGAGTATCGGAAATGCCACCGATAAAGTGCTGTTCGTATCATCTGTTATGTGTCGTGTAGGTGCGTGCCTTTTATCCCTCCTGTTGACATGTGCAAACGGGTGCTATTATCTTCTTATCGTTTTCTCTCCTGTGTATGTATTTACGTCTGATAGGACCCTTGGACTACGAGTGCATCGCTCATGACGAGAATGTAAAAAGGACACGCGTCACGTTTGAAAATAGAATGTCAAATTGTTCAGGACTCAACAAAAAAAAAATAAGAAGACTCATTTAGAAGTCAATAAAACGCATAATTCTGAGACTCGTCTAGTTGCGCGAGGTGCGAGTGTTCCATGCCAGAGGTCTAGTGCTGCAATGTGCGCCTTTGCAATGCCCGCTGCCGCACTAATCCCGCCGACAAATGTCAGGGGAGTTCTAACAGAAACTGAACAGGAGCAAAAGCTGCAGATGAACCCGGGGGTCGCCGCAACCACAGATGATGCTAAGAGACATTTTGGGTTATGGTGCTTACACGGCGTCTCCGACTGGCGTGTCTACCGCGTCATCAAAAGTGGTCTCTCGATTGCCGCTCGATGACGTTCTAAAAGTGTCATGCTCTTGCTCTGTCGCGATCCTGGCGGTGGTACAGGGCGGAGGGGGAGGCGACAGACGCCTGCTCCGTTGCAGGTTTTTCTGCAGTCAGACAGCCAACGGAAACCATAGCAGCCACAAGTTGGGACGTCGCGACGACAGCGACCTTCGAGTCCGCTTGCCCTTTTTAGAGCGCAGCTCTTCGGTTCCCGTTTCCGGCTTGAGCGGTTTCGGTGTCGCCATCGGCGTCGGCGTAACCGCGGGGGAAATTTTTCGCTAAATTTAGCCGGGAAAGTTTCCGCTAACTTTAGCGAGGAACTTTTGCCGCTAAATTCAGCGGTTAAAATTTTCCGCTAAATTTAGCGGGGAAATTTTTCCAGCTAACTTTAGCAGAAAAAATTCCCTGCTAAATTTAGCGAAAAAATTACCCTGCTAATTTTAGTGGGGAAATTTTTCTGCTAAATTTAGCGTGAAATTTTTTCCACTAAATTGAGCGGGGAACTTTTTCCGCTAAATTTAGCGGGTAAATTTTTCCGCTAAATTTAGTGGTACATTTTCCCCTAAATGGGAGGCGAGAAGGGGAGGAGGAGGGGGCATATCCTCCTCTCCGTACCTTCCCCTCCTCCTCCTCAAGGGCTGCGCTCTAATAGACCGATCTCACCAAGCGTTCGGAGCATGCGTGACGCCGCCATAACTTTAGTTCAGAGGAGCCAGGCAGCAGTGCACATGACGGCTCGTGCCGCCTCATGCTCCACACGCGCAGAGCTCTAGCGAGGTTGTCGCACGTGCAGAAAGACTAAAGCCCCCTCGATGCATTGCGGCAGCGGTGGCGTATAGTCAAACTGGCTGGTGAGATCGGTCTATTCGGCGTTACAGGGGTGTGTAAACGTCTTTCATTTTTTGCCAGAATTTCTACGACCAAGAGCATGACACACCGGCTCCTGTTACGCAATGTGTCGTTACTTCGAGAGCATTCTCGATGTATATGGGCGGAATAGAACGGTAAGCACGGCAGTCTACGGCGCGTTCCGGACATCGTCTTTGGGCTCTTCAGGCGGCAGAGTTTGAAGTTGAAATGAAAATTCAGAATCGGATCCCTTCAGGGTACCCTTCTTCCATATCCTTGAACTGTTGGCGTGACCAAACTTTATCCCACGCGGGAACTGTCTGGCACTCTCACTGAAAGTGGCACACATGGGTGTTGCAGTGACGTTATAATTGCTGAATGAAAGCTTCGTAACGCAGGAAAATAATCCCTAGAGAAGGGGAAAAAGGGGGACAAAGGACAAACACAAATCTCTATACAGAGCTAGGTGACTGGTGCTCGACAAAAAAAAAAAAATCCGCCTGCTCCGGGTATCGAACCAAGGACCAGGCGGAATTTTTTCAGTCGCGCACCAGTCACAAGCTGTGTTTGGAAATTAGTGTTTGTCCTTTATTCCCCTTGTCCGGTGATTATTTTCGTCATTCTTGTCCAGCTCGCTTGCACATTTGCATTAATTCCATTGTCATCGTAATGTATAAATGCCTCGGTCTACATCAGAGATAGAAAATATCGTCTCTATGCTTTATTGCTGGGGACCTGTTCAGAACCTGGAATCATGCGGAATAAATAGACCATCAAAAGGCCCTACTCTGCGCTTACTTCCGGAGCACGTGGGCTTTGAGAAAAGCTCTTGGAAACATTGGCACGCGAGATCATTGACCTGTTGTTTTGCACCATGCCTGCTGAAAGACGCGGCACGCACAATGCAACAACAGTTGCTGCTGCTGTTGTTCTTTTGTTGGACCGCGATAAAAAGGCTCGTTTATCGCGGTTTAGCAAGATTTAACGGCGCGTGATGATGTACTACACTGATCTGAATGAAGACTGAAAACGCGCAACTGGAGCGCCGATGTTGTCAATCGCGCGTCCTAACGTCATTGGACCTTCACCGCCATGAATTTATGTAAGACGCCATGCCGACTGCTAATAAATCAGAACTGAAGAAACTCATTTCAAAGCGGCTTCCCGAGTACGCTCTGATTTTGGTAACTTTAGTTTTCGATAAATGGCTATACAATTTGCGGCGCTTAATTTTTACATCGTCAACGCGTAAAATATACGAATCTGCGTAGTTAAAACGTTCTTAAAATCGCAATATTAGTTTAAAGTCTATCGAAATATACCCAGCCGGCAATGCATATCCAGGCGGCGCCACGAGAGTGCTGCCTTCAGCACTACAAGCGGAGGCGTGTCTGTTAAAGGGACGCTGAACCGAAATCTGGATTCCCCAAAACACGCGGGAAAAGCGTGCAACGGGATGCTACAAACGCCAAAACATCACTCATACAGCGATATCTGAAACGGATGACTGTATTTTTCAAAAAAAGGAGGCGCATTTGGCAGGAATGTTGACGTCATGTTTCTCTGAGAAGGAGAGGGAACGGACTCGCGTCCCCTCCGCCTCGCGGCCTTGAGGGAGCGAAGCGAAGAGAGGAAGAAACTAACCGCCGAATTCAGAAACCTCACTCAAACTACACTCAAACTTAAGGGCCCCTCCACTTCCTCGAGGAAGGCGCGAGGGCCGGCGCTGGCCAATCGCGACGGCGGATCCGTCCTCGCGATTGGCCAGCGCCGGCCCTCGCGCCTTCCTCGAGGAAGTGGAGGGGCCCTTCAGTTTGAGTGTAGTTTGAGTGAGGTTTCTGAATTCGGCGGTAGGTATCTTGACGGTCACGCGCCTCGTCGGCCTGATTCAATCTCGACATCTTTTTCCAAAAATACGGCCGTCCATTTAAGATATCGCCTTACTAGTAGTGTTGTAGGGATTGTAGCGTCCCGCCTACACCTCCAGCATTGTTTTTTTTTGTTTTTTTTTTTTGAAATCCAAATTTTGGTTTATCATCCCTTTAATGGGGCGGCCAGTTTGCCCGTCGAGCCGTGGTGAGAGGCGGCGACGCTAATTTTAGCCGTACCCGGTAGCAAGTGCGCACCTTGTCCCTGGTTCCTTTGTGACGGTACACCAGGCCGCATATTAAAAGAGAGACGAAAGTAATCCCTGGAGAAGGGGAACAAGAGGGACAAAGGACAAACATAAATCTCCAAACACAGCTCGCTTGCACCTTTGCATTTAATTGCATTATAATTAAAAGAGAGTTCCGGCATTTTGTCTAGTTTCTTATTTGTAATATTCGATAACTCACTATCAAGCGGTAAATTACCAAGTGAATGGAAAACAGCTTACGTTGTTCCTACCCACAAAAGCAGTAAAAAAATAGTATAGAAAACTATAGACCAATATCTCTTCTTTGTGTGTGTTCGAAAGTTTTAGAACATATAATCTACAGCCACCTGATAAAACATCTCGACAGAAACAACTTCTTTATTACTTATCAACATGACTCCCGAAGTGGTTTATCGTGCGATACCCAGCTGATCGACTTTTATCAGGACATTTCTTCTCTTTTTGCGATAAAGACGTGCAAGTAGACTGAGTTTTCTTAGATCTTCAAAAAGCCTTTGACAAGGTCCCCCATAAATTGATCCTATACAAATTAATTTTTTTTTAATATCCCTGAAATCATTATTAGCTGGCTTACTGATTATCTTACAAATCGAAGACAGGCTGTTTTAGTGAACGGGAAAACGTCGTCATATTTAGAAGGAACATCAGGGGTCCCGCAGGGATCAGTGCTAGGTCCGCTTTTATTCCTAATATATATAAATGACATTTCTACAGAAATTACGTCAAGCATTCGTCTTTATGCGGACAATTGAGTCTTATACCGCAAAATAACGACATACTCAGGCGGTCTAGAGCTACAGGAAGATATTGATCGCCTATCAAGATGGTGCGAAATATGGAAAATGAATTTAAATATTCCCAAATGCAATCATATAACATTTACCAAAAAACGAAAACTTGTTTCTTTTAGCTATTCAATTGGCGGCGCCCTACTACAAAAGGTGGACAAATTAAAATATTTAGGCGTTCAGTTTTCAGAAAGCCTATCGTGGAGCGCACATGTAGACTACATGACGGTCAAAGCTAACCGTGTGCTAAATTTCTTGAGGAGAAATTTTCACGATTGCCCTTCCAATTTAAAAAAAAAAAAAAAACCTTTTTCTTTTTAATGCGAGGCCTATTTTAGAATACGCTTGCTTGCTCTGGGACCCTAAAGAACGCTATCTGGAACAGAAAATTAAACAAATTAAGAGCAAAGCTTCTAGGTTCGTTACAAAAAAATTACAATTTCAAACAAAGTGTTATTGCTCTAAAACGTCAATTAGACTGGGAACCTCTGAACTCTAGAAGACGCCGCTTCCGTTTAAAATTTTACATAGAATATATCATGATCAAACAGGACTGGATAAAACTAAATTCCTGGAACTGCCACACTTTGTATCACGCAGTTTAGATCATTCCAAAAAAAATTTGAGAATTTTCAGCTGGGACTAATATATTCAAATTCTCATTTCCCCCCAATACCGTTAAACAATAGAACGAATTGCCCGAGGAAACTTTTTTAATTCCATCATCTCATATGTTTTTGATAAACTGTCACGTAATAGCTGGGAATAAGGAAGGTGAATTCTTTGTTTGTGAATGTGTATTCAGAATGCTTGATTTGTAGCACCGTGCTTTGTGCCTTCATACCTTTACTTGTACAGAAAATTATATTGGTGGCTAATCCTTAATAACATTGTATCTCCATATGTTAAAGTGTTATAATTTTGCAACACAATTTTTCTTGCGAAC